CTTTAAAAAATCAGGAAGGATAAGAGAATGGCACATGTATATTCTTCACTAGTGAGAAACACACTGTGTAACAGTATTGGTCATGGTAAAAAAATGGCTTATGTGTAACTAGGGTGCAAACTAATATTGAACGGCTTCTTATTGCCAAGCACCATGTATTTTGTTTCATTTAGTTCACACACTAGCCATAGTAGGTAGGTATTATTAACTTCCCATTATATAGATAAGGAAACTGAGGTTTGGGCACTTTGAGCAACTAGTTCGGTGTATCACAACTAGTATAAAAATGTTCAATATGCCAATGTTATTTTTTTAAATCTTGTGTTGGATTTAGTACTGATGAGCTTTACTCTAGATACTACCAGTCTTACTCAAGACTATGACCAAATAACAAGAATAACCCTACCTTTAGCAGGCATTACCTTAAGTTTTATGTATATATGAACTTGTGTAATCCCCACAACAGTGCTGTTTGCTAACCCCCAATTAGAGATGAGGCAACTGAGAGGTTAAGTAACTTGCTCAAAGTCACACAGCTAATAATTGGAGGAGCTGTGATATAACCCCAGTGGCTGGATCCAACCTGTGCTCATAACCTCAGGCTTCAGTCTGTGTCCTAATAGAAACCGTGCTGAGCTGAACAGGAGTTTGGCATTATCCACAGGAAAGTGTGAGGGGTATTCATCTGCTAATTTTATCCAAATAGTGGAAGCAGGATAGCTAAATTGCAGGGGCAATGGTGTCTCTTTGCTTATGCTTTTAGCTGTGTTTGTGCATTTCCATGTCACATTAGTAGAGATAAATGCCACTTGGGGCCCACCCCACCCCAGTAGAATGACTTCATACAAAACAGAAATTAACTTTGTCTCATCAAACTTGGGCTGCACTGAACTACACAGCCTCACTCAGCAAGCCAGGGCCTGGGAGCAGCTCCCAGCAGCCCAGGGCCGGGCAGGCTTTGGAAGGTAGCAAAGCAGATGCCTCCCATGTCTTGTCCTCCTTTGCAATCACCTACCGGCAAGTACCTCTGTGGTACCCCCTTTCACACTTGGAGCTCCCAATCTAAAAGGAACTGGCAGGAGAACATAATTCAGAGCAAATAAATAAAGATGTAACCTGCTACCACTTTAGAAAGAGTGCTAACTGGTGGCTGGATGCCAGCCTCAGAGAGTCCACAGCTAAGAAGCATTTCTGAGCTGATGTCTTCAACTCTGATGGTTTCTTTCACCCTCTACCTGGTTCTGCATTGAACTAGAAAGGGTATGGAAGACACCCATTAAAGAATCTGACCCAGTGACTTCAAGGCTTTCAAAACTCATCCTCAGTGGAAATAATCCAGTGTTGCAAAGCAAAGCATAGAAGCTATCGCTGCCCACAATGATTTCTGAACTGCTCTGCAGACATCACCCTTGTGGGCAGTGTGACACTGAGGATTTAAGTTCATTAATTCATAGCTTAATAGTTTTCATCCCTTTTTTTAATGGTGTGTTTTCAATACAAATGTTGCTCATTATCAGAAAGATAACTTGAATTTTTTTTAAAAGTAAGCAGTAAGGTTTTTTGGAGGGTGAATCATCATCAGGTGACTTTGTCATCTAGTTCTTAACAGAAAAGCACAGCTGATTTAAACTTCTTTCTAAACAAAATGGTATATGCATGCTCAATCTTTAGTATCAGTTTTAGGTCCTTTTTGAATGCTTACTGAAATGATGATGACGATGATGGTGATAACAAATGCCACTCGCTATTTACATTTTTCACACAGGTTTTGGTCGAATTTTCAGAACAACCCTACCTTAGCCAAGTGACTAAGTGAGGCTTCCTGGGTTCCCATCTCAGCGTGAGAACTGGCTTACCAAGCTCTCCTTCCAGGCTGTGAGACCTTAGTTAAGTTTCATAATCTGTCTAAACTGTTTCCTTGTCTTGTAAAATGAGCTTAAGAACAGCTATGGTTCATTTACACAATGGAATACTACTCTGCTGTAAAAAAGAAAATTTTACCCTTTGTGACAGCATGGATGGACCTGGAGAACATTATGTTAAGTGAAATATTACAGTCAGAAAAAGATACACATGGAATCCAATGAACAAATTGAACTAACAAGCAAATAGGAACAGACTCATAGATGGAGAGCAGGCTAACAGTTTGGTGTGGGGAGTGGGGTGTTGGAGGGGTGGGGGGCTGGAGCAAAAAAGAAGAGAGAACTCATGGACACTGACAACAATGTGGTGATTGCAGCGGGGAGGGCTTGGGTGGAGGTGAAAGAGAGTAGTGGGGGGATAAATGGTAATGGAAAAAATGCAACAAAAAATAGATTTAAAATAAAAAATAATAGTCAAGGTTGCTACAAAGAGTGAGATGAAGCACTTAAGTAAATTGAAGCACATAAGTGCTTACTAGCACAAGACCACGGCTACTGTGGTGGCGGTGGTGGTGTTTTCCCCATTCTGCACCTAAGGCAACAGCCTGGAGGGGTCCAGAAACCCAGCCTTCGGCCTTCGTTCCTGGCAAATAGGATTGAAACCTCAGGATTTAGATCTCTAAACCCCTGGTGTTCTAAGCACTCTGCCATCCCACAGACACCGCGGGGAGGTGTTTTTAGACTAGTGTTAGATTCCTCTAGCAGTTGCCCTGCTAAGGATCTGCCTTTGCCTCTTGAGCCTTTTAATAATATAAGCCCTTAAGTCTTTTAACCAATCTAGTTGCTCTTTTTAAACCTGATCCAACTAAATAGTGCCTGTGAAATTCACAAGGAAGCTTAGTGATATGGTACAGGGTGTTCAGAGTTTTATGAGATAGGATTATGCTTTGCCTGTCACATGAGGCAATTCTGCGTGAACCTGAAGTGACATTCATCTTCATTATTGTGACTGCTATTACAAACACATATCTAAGGTGTCATTCACTGCCTTGTGTTTGGTCTGTCATCCCTGCCTTCAGGATTCTCACTCACACACAGACACAATGTCCCTCTCCCCTTCTTTTTTTACATATTTAAAACGAGTCATGGAGTTACGGCATACATCTTAATCCTTAACAACCCCCCCTTATACATACACACCCCAAAGCATAGAAAATACTCAAGGTGTCTACTTGGAGAATCACAGTTCTTCTCCATCTGTGCTTTTGTGGGTAAATCTGGCTTCAACTCCTTCTTCTAAGGCACTTCCAATTTTGTAGTTTGGGCAGGGTTTGTTGCCCCTTGAATAAGCTAAGCTTCAGATTCTTGTATTTTCTTCATGGTGAAACCTCATTATGTTTATAGCTCTAGTGGAAGAAGAACTAAGGATCTAGTGTGATTGACTCAAACATTTAACATCAATACGCTATCTTTACATTCAGAGTTTTCTTTTACATTTATCACTTTATTTTAAAGTTCTTAATGACAAACTTAGGGGGTTAGTCTGACAAGCCCCTGCAGTATTTGCAAAGTATAGATCAGTCTCCCCACCTTGCCAAGAACTGTATTATTTAGCTGTACATGTGATGTACTCATGCTGTCCTTTCCAACCGATTTGCTTTCCTGTCTTTCATACTAGATTACAAACTCACTTAAACTAAAAATGTTGACCTGTTCATTTTTGCATTCTTGTACATTATGGTCATTCAGTAACTGTTTATTGAATTGGACCTTTAGATTTCTGAGCTTCACTATACCTACTTTGTAAGGATAATTAAAATTTGGGGAGTAGTTATATAGAATTCAAAATTACAAAACTATTCAATTTTTTTAAATGTTAAGATGAGTAGCAAAGCTACCAATTTGGATTTACACAATATATGTGCATGTATGTGCAGGTACAGGTAGATGTGAATAGTTTACATGCATGTTTATACCTTATAAAATAGGGTAAAAGTGAGCAGTTCAGGTGTTTGAAAGGTGGTAGTTATGCCCAGCAGGTTTTCTTTTATTACTCTGGATAAGGGGGCAGGGGTATGGGGACCAGGAAGGAGAATACCCCTTCCTGGGTATTCTGTCCTTGGGTTTCTTTTTTCATTTAGTTCACACTTATGGAAAAGAGAATCATTTAGGCATCCATTAGTATACTAAGAAAGAGTATATTATGTTGGATTCTTTTCAACTGGAAGAAGTAAGCTAGGTTGGCTGAAAGGAGGGGGGAGGAGGTTTGAATGGTCTTAAACTCTCAGAATGCAGGTTGCACAAAGTTAAGTTGTGCACACTACTTTAAAATCATATGCCTATATTATCCTATAGTGCAAGCTAGAGCTTTTTTTCTGCTTGTGACCCATGTTTTGATAGTCTCCTATTATTTTGTGTTGGTTAATTTAAGTACAGTTTAGTTGACAGCTCACCACCCTCTTGTTTATTTGTAAATGGTAGAACATCTCATCTTAATATGTTTTAAGCTAAAAGAAGACGTTTTCCTTTGACATTGTACAAATGAAAACAGAATTGCCTTATTGGTGGGGTGGTGAGCAGGTAGGCTTGGGAGGGCAGGTGGCTAACTTCTGGCTTCATGTTTTCCCTGATTCAGAAATTAGATATGATTATGGGTGGTGCTTTTCTGAGACAAGATAACATGTTATTTGTAACATGACCCCAGCATAGCTTACCCAAAAAAGTATGGAGGATGTGGAGTTGGGTTGTACCAGTAAGAAAATTGAGGGTTCCTGATGATTCCAAGAATACAAATTCTATACTTAGAAGACTTCTAAGAAAGTGAATCTAAGAAAGCAGTCATGGTCATTCCTAAGAAAACCATGGAATCTCTTACAAAGCCTTAGGTGTGTGTCTCACCCTCCGTTCCTAGTGGGAATGCTGCCAGTGGTCGTAGCTCACTGGTGCCCCCTTGCGGTACTTGAGCCACTTCACATTTTTGACTTGGTAAGACCCCTGTAGTGAATGAGGCAAACTCAATTTCCAAGGAAAAAAAACTTAACCTCCAGGATTAGAGGCGTAGGTGTTCCCTAAATTTCATTCAAACTTCTTTCTCATTCTTTTCTCTTCTTTCTCATTCTCATTGTTACTTTGTTTTAGGCCAAAGAACTGCCAACTTTAAAGGATAATGATTTCATTAATGAGGGCCAAAAGATTTATATTGATGACAACAACAAAAAGGTGTTCCTGGAAAAACTGAAAAAGGATGTTGAGGTAAGAAAAATCAGTGTAATGGGCATTCCCCATTGTATAAATGTCAACATTGTTGGTTTTTAGGAGTTTTTTAAACCACCCATCTAAGTGTGCAACCAAGGCAAAAATATATATTGTACAATTATCAAAATCAGATATAAACAAGTGTAAATCATATGTGATATGGTTTGAAAAGGAAGTGTACTGGTTCAGCAGCTCTCTCCTTTAGGCAGCAAACAAAAGAAAGTGCCTGCTGTCTTCTGCTGGTATCTCCACCCTGGGGTCCCTGCATTCTTTGTTGGCGGGGACAGCCTGTGCTGCTGGGATAGCCTGGATGGAGTTAAATCCCATTCCGACTGACTGCCCACAGCCACCAGAGCTGGGGTGAAGGGGAATGACTGCACTCTGTCAGGCAGCAGAGCATTCCAAAAACAAATGTTTAGAAACTGTTCAAATTTGGAGTTTTCTTCATCAAAACCACGTATCAGTGCTAGTAAACACAGCCTTAGTTACTTCATGCTTAATATTTTCACCAACCTCCATGAAACTAGTGTCCTTAGGCCCAATCAGCCAGCCGAACACATCACAGGAATAGCACAAAGGCAGTTTGGACACCAGGATCGTGGGGGATGGTTGGGAAAAATAAAATACTATGCAGAAGTAGGCTTTAAGCCTATAATGAAGGAATTTTATTTTAAGTATTGTTTAAAGAATTAAAAATATATGTTTTCCTTTCCTTTTGTTTATTATAAAGACATTGCAGTCCTCCCATTGGACTTCCTTATATGATTCTTTTAGAAATAAGTTCAGGAAAAAAGTTATTTCGTTGAAATGGGCTATAAGACAGTTACTTCGTTTTTCTGAGCTGTTAACTTTTGTTCATGTGTATATACTTGTGTACTTTTTTTTCTGCTTTGAAATACAGTTCCCCTTATACTAGTACAGATTTGCTACTTAGATGCTCTGTGGAAAGATGTTCTTTTTCATGGCATTAAACAAAACCAGTTGAAAAGAGTGGAGCCGCAGAACGAATGTCGTGCATTCGATTACATTCCGCACGAGGGCAGAAGCAGCGTTACACTTTCCTTGTTAATCTTCTAACATCTCTTTTGTCGCAAGACACCCAGACTGACCAAGTTAGTTTATAATTATGTTAGGTCATAAATATTTTAATTTAAACATTTTACATTATTTTAGCCTACATGGTATATATGCTTCTTTTAGAACCTAAATACTGGCAATTTGTGAAAGATACAAGTGTCTACTTTTAAAAAGTAGACAAAAGTTTGTTTTCATCATATAACATTTTTTCTCCAGCCTTTCATTAATGAGCATTTATTTTTTCTCAATTGTCGGTGGTTATTAAAGTTCATATTAGTTAAGCATTTCCTCCTTACTTTGAGGTCAACTTGATCTAACTGATAACTAAGTATAGTAGGTAGACATACACTCTTGGATTTTTATTCATTAATCAGCAAATCTTTGATCCTGAGAATAATGTTGGTTTAGCAATTATATATGATAAAGAGCCCTTAGGGTTACCTGTGATCTGCCAAAAAATTGTCATCTTTTTTTCCTGTTGGCTGTATATCACTGTATGATACTTAGACTCCAGAAATAATGTAACTGAAGCGGTCCAGATTTACAGTTGAATTACATAAGGATCCTCTTAGTCCTTTTGTTGTCTCTAATACTGTCGTTGATTAGAGGATCTGGGTAGTTTAATCCCGTACATGTCTCTTATACTTAGCTGTTTTGTTGAAACGGAGACAGGGCATAAAGTATTCTTTCATTTTAAAAAATTCTCAGTGGTTGATAACAGTGTCTTTAGTTTTGAAATTCATGCTGAAGCATCATTAAATTTTTAAGCAGGTGATTATGGTGAAGTGGCTTGACATCTGATCTTGACAATGAAGCTAGAATTTAATCTAGCTTAGTTTTTTCATCAGGTCCATGCTTTCTGTTTTAGCTGACCAGCCTGTTAGTTTGAATATAGTTTTTTGGGGGCTGGGGGAGGAGTTTTTTGGTTTTTCACTTACTGCTTAAAGTAAAAGATGAGTATACTAAAGCTTAATAATCTAGTTTTGTAGAAAAAAAGAAAAGAATTGTCATTTGAGAATCTAGCATCTTTTTTCTGCTGTTGAAATCCTGTTCTATTCATATGCCATGAAAAGTAATTTCGTTCAGATAGCTTTGCACATAACTAAATATACATGAGCCTTTTTCTGCAAAAGAAAGTGCTCTGTGGAAAGTGAAAATTACTTTTATGTTGCAACCTGCTTGTTGTCAGCTCCAATGATGATGATGGAGCCAAAGCTAGTCTTTCCTCTCATTGGCACATACTGGGACCCAGATGTCACACAATGTAATGCAGTGCTCTCCCTCTGGTGTCTGGGGTTACCCCTATCACAGGGCTCTCAACTCTCACATTTATGACTCTATAACCTTGGCTGTGGGTGGGAGGGAGAAGGTAGCCACCAGTGATTACGGAGCATAGAGATCCTCAGTCCTTCCCATACAGTCATTATCTCGTTTCATTTCTATAACAACTCCTTGAGGGTGAGCACTATTATTATCCCAGTATATGGATGAGAAAACAGAGTCCAGAGACTATGTAATTCACTGAAAGACACACAGCTACTAAATTCAGTCTTGGATTTGAGGCCATCAGAGGCCACACTCCAAAATTTCTCTCATATAAAATGCAAATTAAAAATGTTTATGGGCACAGTTCAGACTTTGTTTTCTGATAAATGCTCCAGAGGAGAATTTAACAAGTGATAAAATATAACTCTTAAATAAGGCTGGTTGGAATTTTAATTCTGTGTCACAGATGTGTTGGGGTAATCCAATAGAGCAAATGTGGTAATTAAGTTAGCAAATAAAGTGAATTTAAATCTGTTGTAAAGGAGAATTTATTAATGGTTCTTTTGCTACATAGTTTTCTAGAAGAGTTTGTGACAGGGCTCATAAAGATCTTGAGGAAGATACTAGCTCAAAGACGTGGCAGGAATTAATTACGAAGGAATCAGATTAGATGGGATATTCTGAGGGGAAAAGAGGCTGTCCAAGATCTTTACATGATCATTAAGAAACTGGAAAAGAGGAAAAGCAGGGGACCTAAAGATTATAAAGATTTAAAAATCTTCATGAGTTGAAATCATATGTATTTTAAAAAAAATCAATAAATTTGAGGCCAGAGCTGAAAGGGATGAACAAATGTGTATTAAGTTTCTAATGCTGGAGGCAGACCCTAGTAGTGGGGCCCTTGACCCCTTTCTGTCCTCTCAAACTGTCACCTTCTGCTCCACAGCAGCTTTTGGTACTGAAAAGGATTTTTTTCTAATAAGAATTTTGTATTTATTGCTACATTTCATTTTACTCTACTTCAGAAGATATTTAAAATAAAATTAGTGAAGATAAGAGCTAGTGAATCAATGGGCACTTCCACATGTTAGCCGACCTAACTTGTGGTTTAAATTGCATACTTGATGGACAAAAAAAGGCCTTCTACCATAATGATAACAACACGGACAGTTATAACAACAGCTTCCATTGTTGCGTGTTCCATTGTCTCAACTACATTACCGATTTGTAACCCTTTCCACACCCCTGTGAGTTGCATGGTATTGTCCTGTTGTAGAGTTAAAATAACTGAGACTCCAAGAGGTGGATTCATTATCAAGGCACAGAGAGAAATAAGATTTAATCTCCTGACTCCAAAATCTATACTCTTTGTTTTTATTTTTAAGAATACCTGATACTATAATTAAAGAAGAATAAATGAGTCATCTTTTTCAGCAAAACCTATACTCCGAAGCCCTTTGCTTTACCCTTTCTATCTCAGGCTCACAGACTTGAAAACTTACATAATACCCATTTAGGCCTGCAGTTGGTTTCCTTGATCATCTTGGGAATACCAGAACAGCTTCTTACCTAGAAATGCATTTTTCATTTTACTGATGGCTTAGTGGGCAGTGCTGGGAACTAACTTCACTTATGAATACAACTGTTTCCTTACTGGATGAGGAGCCTAAGCAGCAGTCTGACCCCAGATGGGAGGCCCAGGAAAGGAGCTCAGGACCTACCTGACCTTTTGAGCAGCACAGATGCAGAGGGCAGGTGTGAGCCTGGAGACCTCCCCACTTAGTGCAGCCGTCCAGCCCCCACTTGGCATCCCGTCCCTGTCCAACCCTTGGCAGGTTAATTACAGGGAGCCCCTTACTTTTGTACATAAAGCACACTTGAAAGTGTATTTGAAAGTCAGCTGTCTGAATGTCAAGCAGTGGACGTGCATGTTAAACAGCAGTTCCATTCTACAGAGCACAGATAAATTGTAAATGGTCTACTTTTGCTTCTGATAGGCACTGCCACTTAGAGTCTCAAAGATTTTTCTGTTGTTGCTTTGTTCTTTGTTTTTATTTGGTTGGCATGGTTATTTCGTGGAGAAAGGGGTTAGAAATTTGGGAGAGTTAAGGAGGACAAGGGAAAAAGAAGCAGACATCTCATTCACTTGTTCAATAAATATTGAGTACCTATCGTCACTTCCTGAGACTCAGAAGTGCTGTGAGGGAGGAACAGGCAGAGCCCCTGCCCTCATGGGGCTGCCGTGTTGGAGAAAAACCGAAATTATTCAAGTAATCTAACAAGGTGAATGTGCAGCTAAGTCACATCACTGGGGGAAAGCATGCAGTGCTGTACATGCTCAAGATTTGGGATGTGGCCTAGGCAGGATCAGCAAAGGCTTCCTGAGCAAGTGCCCTCATCCTGTAACTGAGATCTGAAGGATTAGTGGGAGGTGACTGGGGGCAGGTGAGAACAGGGTTCAAGATGGCCCAAGAGGTGATAGGGCCAAACTAGCCAGGTCCCCTGGGCCATGTTAGGGTTGGTATCTGTCTTGTGAGAAATGAAACATCATTAAAAGGTTTCAGGCAGGGCACAACAAGATCAAATTTGCATTTTGAAAAGCTGTTCCCTTTCCAGAAGGCTGGAGGGGGATGTTAGGGCAGCATCCAGTCTTTCCTACTTCCCAGGGACCTTCCAAGGGCCCAGAGGAGCAGAGATGGGGAGAAGGGGACCTTTGCGTTGCCACCATACAAGCTGAGCAAGACCCAGCCTGGCTACAACACCGCCCCGCCCCCCCGCCACCACCACCCTGCACCCATGGCACACACATGGACCCTGGGTGGAGATGTTGTCACCTATCAATTGATGTGCCTGCAGGTATGCCTGGACGTCTGGAGGCAGTGGGGGTGGTGGAGGGAGTAGAAGCAGGCCAGAGAAAGACCCTGATAAAGGGATTGGGGCAGGCATTGTGCTAGGTGTGGTAGGGGCAATGGATGAGACAAGGAAGGCACTGACCCTGTTGTCTTGGAGCCCAGGGGCTGAGCTCAGGCACAGCCATAGCCTCCTGGGAGCCTTGAACAACAGATGGGGCAAAAGCAGGGCCGGTAGTGAGCGTCCTGCCCTTTGTAACTCCAGAGCATTAGAGGATATGGCTGCATTTCTAAACACTGGCAACAGTGTCTTTTGTTCCCAAAACACAAGCTGTACTGAAGGACGGAAAGCAGGTTCCATGATTAAATTGGTATGAGACATGCTGCTGGTTGAGAACCCTCTCAAAAATCCACAGTACTTACTAATGTGGGGAGATCCTCCTCAGAAACCATTAGATTTGTTTAACTCATCATTTCCCTACCAGTGCTGTAAAAAACAAGATTTGGGAAAAGCTGCCTGAATGCAGCTTCCAGAGACAGCAAATGTAGTATAAAGGGCATGAGCTTTGAACATGGGATCCCAAATCAACTCCTTCTTAGCTTTGATCCTTGGGCAAGTTCTTTTAATTTGTCTGAGCCTATCTGCTGTCTCTCATGGGGATCGAATGCCTGCCTCGTGCCAGGCCAACTGTCTTTGTACCCATAGCTCTTAGTTCTCTTCCAAATCGTGGGCCCATGGGGAGCGGAATGAGTAACTGAGTTGGTGCCTGACTGGGTGTCTGACTCTGTGTTAGTAAAGGAAGCACTTTATGGCACTGTTATTCTCTTGAGATGCTGCAGGTCATCTGCACAAACATGTTCCTGGCCAGGTGCTCCCTGAAACCCAGCAGCTGCCAGAATGATATGGGAGGATGAGCAGTCTCTGACCACTTGTAGGGAAGGCTGGCCAAGGGAAGTGGGAGTGGCCAGTTGGTTTTGAGATGACTTTGATGGTGGGGTTTGAGGAAAGCCAGAGGAGGAGCAATGGCTCAGAAAACTTGAGAATGACTCAAAGCTTGAGAATGAGTCCTCTGTTGTTGTTGTTGTTGTTGTTGTTGTGTGTTTTAATAGAATCAGTAGCACCTATAGTTTCTGGAAGTCATGTTTCTGGGTACATCTACTAAAAAAGAAGAAAAGAAAAATTATGACATGAAAAGTCAAAAAAGAACTTGGGAGGCAGGAGTAGTCAAACCCCAGAGCTGGGTCTTGCCCCACAGTACTTCCTAGCTGTGGCTGGAAGAGGAGAGAGAGGGAACAGGAACCTGGGTCTGCGCTGCCTCATGGAGAGTGAACCGCCAGCAGCGTCTCTGGTCTCCCTGCTCACATCAGAAAGAGACCCACCAGAGCAGGACAGAAGGACTGTGTTACCCACCAGAGTGTTGACACAGGCCTTTGCTGGTTGATTGGGACATTTGGGCTTGTACTTATTTGTGATGGACAGCATAATGTTCTCAGTGGAATATGCTGAATTACAAAGTGCTTTCACAAACTGTTCTGAGACACTCTGTTGGAAACTACTTGGGAGGTCCCTGGTTTTTCCCATTAGCCATGTTAATTGTTGGGAGAAATATTCTCTTCGCTCCTTCAGTGTCTTTTTTTGCCAGTCATGCTCTCTGCTCTTCAGCATAATCCAATCTAGATGTGATAAATGCATGCCTCTCAGCATTCAGTGTGGCGTTTCTGGGAGAATAACACCAGCTCTGAGCCAGCTGAAGTGTGAGGCCACATTTTTGGCCTGGAGAAACTGCCTGGGACTTTGAGCGCACATGAAGAAGGCTCCTGGCCGCCTCAAGGAGATCCTCCTCTCCATTCTCCCATTCCTTCACTCACTGCTTCCCCCATATACATTTTTCTGAGCTTGTTTTCTTTAAATCTAGGGTTTTGTTTAAGGCATAACTGACCCTGTTCCCTCCTACCCTCCAGTTTCTTGCCCAGTTAAAGCTCATGGACTATAGCCTGCTTGTGGGAATCCACGACGTGGAGAGAGCTGAACAGGAAGAGGTGGAGTGTGAAGAGAATGACGGGGAAGAGGAGGGGGAAAGCGATGGTGCCCACCCCGTTGGAACTCCTCCAGACAGTCCTGGAAACACGCTAAACAGCTCCCCACCCTTGGCTCCAGGGGAGTTCGATCCAAACATTGATGTTTATGGAATTAAGTGCCATGAAAGTAAGCTCAGTTACTATCAACTCTTTTTACCTGTGAAGTGGTTTAACTTGCGAAATATCTACCAGTAATTATAACCCCAGTTAAAACTTATGCTGCCCTGCAAACTTTGTTCTCCAGAGTCCCAATAAATTGATTTGGGGATAAGAGTATGTTAAAGGTAACTTAATCTCTTTTTAAAAAGTATAATGTGGTGAGGTCCTTGAATTTCACAATATTAAGGGAATAGAGTAAGACCACAAAATGTGTTACATATATAACACATACACATGAACTTAAATATAGATAACATGTATATGTTTTAAAATATTTTTATTCTGAACTCTCTCTCTCTTTTATGTGAATCTAAAGTGTCACAAATGTCTGCTGAGCTAGGTACATACATAGTCCACTCTGAACCTCGTGTGGACATTCTGTAGGGCAGGCATCTCATCTCGTGTGACCCTTTCCTTCTCAGAAGTTCTGAAGCTGCCCAGGGTGTTGGATGAGAATCTGGGATTTGCTGCTGTGTCTGCCCTCTGTTCCCCACACCCCATTAAGGGGCCTGTGGCCCACTTTAGAGTGGGTTCAATCTTAATTTTCAGTACCAGTGAAATTGCATATTTGAAGAAATATTACATCCTACCATAACTACATATACATAAAAAACAATATTCTAGAGATATAAAAGCAGACCTCTTTTTGCATAATAAAAGTTATGATTCATCATTTTTTTAAAGAAAATCTCATATAGCATAACAGCCAAGTGAGTTTGAGTTGTATCTTTATTTTGCTCACCAAAATTGTTTCCTTAACAGAGAAATTAGGTACAGTCAAATTTACTTTTCTTATTCTTCTAAATGAAACAGCATCATATCTGTGAAAATACGTAGAAGATAGAAATCATGCTACATACCTTTATCCAGTTCTGATACTAGTGCCAATGAGAATTAGTAACTAGCACCTAATTAGGAATTAGCATCTAATGGTAGAAAAGAAGTAAGTAAGTATAATTGCTTCTACTTGTTCTATAGAGTATTTTACTTTATTTTATTTTTTAATATATTTTATTGATTATGCTATTATAGTTGTCCCATTACCCTCCTTCATTCCTCTCCACCCTGCACAGCCTCTCCCACCCACATTCCCCGCCTTTAGTTCATGTCCATGTATCATAAGTTTTTTAGCTTCTACATTTCCCATACTATTCTTACCCTCCCCCGTCTATTTTCTACCTACCATCTATGCTACTTATTCTCTGCACCTTTTCCCCCTCTCTCCCCTTCCCACTCCCCTGTTTCTAACCCTCCATGTGATCTCCATTTCTGTGGTTCTGTTCCTGTTCTAGTTGATTGCTTAGTTTGTTTTTGTTTTTGTTTTAGGTGTGGTTGTTCATAATTGTGAGTTTGCTGTCATTTTACTATACATGTTTTTTATCTTCTTTTTCTTAGATAAGTCCCTTTAACATTTCATAAAATAAAGGCTTGGTGATGATGCAACTCCTTTAACTTGACCTTACCTGGGAACCACTTTATCTGCCCTTCCATGCTAAATGAAAGCTTTGCTGGGTAGAGCCATCTGGGATGTAGGTCCTTGCCTTTCATGACTTGGAATACTTCTTTCCAGCCTCTTCTTGCCTGCAAGGTCTCTTTTGAGAAATCTGCTAACAGTCTGATGGGAACTCCTTTGTAGGTTACTGTCCCCTTCTCTCTTGGCTGCTTTTAAGATTCTCTCCTTATCTTTAATCTTGGCTAATAATGTCATTATGATGTGCCTTGGTGTCTTCCTCCTTGAGTCCAACTTCTTTGGGACTCTCTGAACTTCCTGGACTTCCTGGAAGTCTCTTTCCTTTGCCAGATTGGGGAAGTTCTCCTTTATTATTTGTTCAAACAACTTTTCCACTTGTTGCTCTTCCTCTTCTGGTACCCCTATAATTCAGATGTTGGAATGTTTAAAGATGTCCTGGAAGTTCCTAAGCTTCTCCTCATTTTTTTTTTGAATTCTTAATCTGTTCTTTTCTGTTTGGTTGTTTCTTTCCTCCTTCTGGTCCATTCTATTGATTTGAGTCCTAGTTTCCTTTCCATCACTATTGGTTCCCTGTGCATTTTCCTTCATTTCTCTTATCATAGTTTTCCTTTTTTCATCTAATTTGAGACCAGATTCAACCAATTCTGTGAGCATCCTGATCACCAGTGCTTTGAACTGTGCATATGATAGGTTGGCTATCTCTTGGTCACTTAAAAGTATTGGCTCTGGGGCTTTGATTTGTACTTCCATTTGAGCCTTTTTTTTTTTTTTTTTAAATCTGGTCACGCCTGTTACGTAGCCAGGGACAGAGCCTTAGGTGTTCTCCAGGGTGGGGCAACCCAGTAGCTGGGTTGTGACGTTGTATGTGGGGGCGGGGTCCGAGAGGAAACAATGGCGTCTGCTCCACTCTGTCAGATTCCAGTCCCTTCCACCACTTCCCCCAAGCTAACTGGGCCTTTCAGGTGCTAATTCCCATGTGGGTGGGCTTGTGTACATTCTAAGACCCCATGGGTCTCTCCAATGAACTCTCTTGTGAGGCTGGGAGTCTCTCCCTGCACCTCAACCCCCACAGGTGTTTTCAATCAGTGTCCCAAGGCTCTGTTTCCTGGCACTGGGACCCTGGGTTACGTGGTCTGTCTCACTGCCCAATTTCTCCTGGTTTATCTGCGCACGAATGTGGCCTGGACAGCCAGGCGCCTTGTACGCAGTGCGTTTCTTCCCAGTCGCTGCTTTGCTGGGTCTGCCAGCCACCTGTGCACCCAGGGTCCACCTGCTGTGGTCTCGCGCTCAGGATGCCTTATGCCCCCGGGATGCGTTACACGTCCGGTGCCACCACTTTTTGTGCTGCAACCCCTCTCAGTCCACCTGCCCGACTCTGCCCCTCCCACCGGCCTGGATAAATGTGCATATTTTAACCCTTTGGTTGTCCAACTTCCATACAGTTCAATTTTCTGTCAGATCTGGTTGTTATCTTGTTTCTAAATTGTTGCTGACCTTACTTTGGTTGTGTGAGGAGGCACAGTGTGTCTACCTATGCCTCCATCTTGGCCAGAAGTCCTTATATAGTATTTTAAAAATAGAATGTTTCTTAATACCAAAGCAATATACAGTCATTAAAGAAAATTCAGATTAACAAAAAAATAGAAACATTCAATCTCACCTTTAGCCTTCCACTGTTAAAATCCTAGGATTATGTTGTTATTTTTTACTTTTTTAAATTGATAGGGAATTGGGTGCAGTTAGGCTGTTTAATAGGGGTATGCAGGAGTTACAGGGACTCTGTGAAAGCCTCTGTTGCCTTTTTGCATGGGCTTCTTCAGTCTCCACCCTATTGAACTCCTCTCCCTCTAGCACTTCCTCCTCCCTCAGCAGCTCATGCCCTTCCAGGTGTTACCATTTGTGCCCCAACTTTGCTCTCATTCCTTTACAGATGCACCTAGAAAAGAGGTGTACTTCATGGCAATTATCGACATTCTGACTCATTATGATGCAAAAAAGAAAGCTGCCCACGCTGCAAAAACTGTTAAGCATGGCGTAAGTATCTTTCTTTTGTTTCCTTCTCTGTTCCTGGGCCCTTGAGTCCTCCACGCTGCTCCTTTCTACTGTGAGGCTCAAAGTCCTTCAGTAGTTCTTGTTTCCTACAGGGGGTCTGAGTGCAAGATTCAGAGCCAGCAAATGCCCATGCTGATGCTTCTCTCCTCGGCTGCCTAGGCTTTTAGCAAGTCACCTAAACTTAGCTGTGATTCTTCCCTTTACATACCAGGGATATTCACGGACACATGCATCACTAGAATGTTATGCAAATTCTTTTCTGTTTGAAGAATGTCTCAGAGATAAAAGGGTTGAAGGTAGTTAAGTGTTTAAATATATAATGTTCAGAACTGAAGCACTATTCTTTGCTTCAGACACTTCCAAAATAGGCAGTATTATATATATGTATATATGTGTTTGAATATGTGTGTGTTTGTGTATATGTATATATATACACAATATGTATATGTATATGTTTGTGTATATGTATATATATACACTATATATATATATATATTCCTACAGCGAATTGTATTTTTTATATTACAGAAATCTTTCTAGTGCAAGGTCAAAATTTAATCATCTGAATTCCTTACCTTTGTTGTGCTTGCTCAGAATGATCACTATTCCAGGCATATGGTGATTTGTTTAATCCCCATGACAAGCCTAGGAGGGGTACTAGTGTAACCCTGTTTATCAGTTGAAGAAACTGAGGACAAGAGCTGAAGTGGAAACTTGCCAAGATCACATGACTAGGAAGTGGCAGAGATGGGACTGCTCCACAGGACCTAGCCCAGCCCCTGCTCTGTGCTAGTCCCAGCCCCCTGCCCCACCAGTGAACCCTACTGCCTGGTCATACCTCACAAGTTGTTGGTATCCATTATGCTCTTACAGATCCACCAGGCGCACTAAATATGATCTGGGTTGGGAACCCTATTTCACCTTTCCCTGTGTGAGCTTGAAAAAACATGTTGGAGCTCCAGTTCCCCCAACTGATAAAGGGGGTCCTAACATCTTGCTGTTTGGTTTTTGTTGGGGGCATACATGAGATGAACAGCCTGAACATTGGGGAGTGTTCTGTATTTGTTCCCATCACTCCTCAAATCTGCTGTAATATTCAATTCCACATGGAATTAGAAATATACCACAGCAAGCATGGCTCCATTTTCACCTCCCCTGTAAGTCACCAGCTCAAACCTATAATATACCACATGGCCTGAAATTGTGTGCAGTTGCAAGAGTGAAACATTTCTGTCAGTAAACGAATGATCTGTTGAGCTGGCTGGGAACCATTCCCTGCCTTCAAGGTTAGGGCTGTGGCAATACCGAGACCCAGGCCAGATGTGGAAATGACGCTCCCCATTGTGTATGGGTATCTAAAAATAGCACCTGGTGACTTAGTAAAACTGTTCTTCCCCTTTGCAGCTCAGGAAACTGGACAGTAAGTACCTTGGGTCTGCTTGCCTCTTGAAATAAAAAACTCTCCACCCAGCCATTGCAAGGGGCCCAGCATCCTTGCTCCAAGCAGGTCTCTGTGAAGGGGAACAATGGCATCCCTGTGCCATGTGCTTGAGGAAAGCCAGCCCCTGCTCCCTGGGAGAGATGCGGACAGCAGTGCTGTACCTCTCCTGGTCATAGTGCTGGGAAGGAGCCAGGGCAGCTGACATAGAAGCTACTGTTGCTGCTGCCACTCTTGTTTTAGAGCACTCAACTGCTCACAGTCTTCCAGAAAAAGAACACAATCCTTACATCATTGTCATCAGAGTTTTCCTTAAGCTATGTGTTGATGTTTGCGTCATTATCAAGGTATCTACAATCTGCTGTGTCAAAAAACAAAAGTATTGTCCCTATGGCTTATGAATGTAGGCCACACAGATTCCACTGTTTGGCAGAAACACCCCAAACATGACTAGTTTGATTTTTTTTTTAAATCACAGCAGTCATAGTGTATGTGATAATAGCATCTGTTGTTCCTGCCACTCTGCCTCATTTTCACACACAGATTCCTAACAACCTTGATTATTTAGACACTATCGAAGATATTTTGAGTTTTGTTTTAAGAGCAGAGCCTACACAGATTTGAAAATTATTAGCTTTATAGTAAGCTGCAATCAGAAATTGCCATAGATACTGAGTAGTAATTATATCAATATTCCTCTTCTTTAAAACTACCCAGGCTGGTGCAGAGATCTCGACCGTGAACCCAGAACAGTATTCAAAGCGCTTCTTGGACTTTATTGGCCACATCTTGACGTAACCTCCTGCACAGTCTCAGATGGACATGAGCATGGGAAGGACAGAGGTGACTTCAGTGTATAAAAGATGAAAACCAAACTCAGTGAAGCACACCACCTCGTTTACATCTTAGGCCAAGATGACTGATTTGGGGGCTACTCGCTTTAACAGCTACCTGATATTTCCCAGCATCATTCTAGCTATTTCTGACGTGTGTGTGTGTGTGTGTGTGTTGTGTGTGTGTTGTGTGTGTGTTGTGTGTGTATATCTTCAAAATTAATTAATTAATGAAAACCGATCAGCTTCAATCAGAGTGTGTTTGGGCAACCACCCTCTGATTCCAGCTGTGGACGAGTGAATGAATGAATGAATGAATGAGCCTATGCGGGGGGAGGGGAAAAGGAAATGCATGTCAGACCAACCATGTTGGCATCACACGATAAACTGTAGATCAGTTTACTTTTTGGAGTTGAAATATGTGAGACAGTATTCATAATAATAATGAAGATAATAATAATGATGATAATAATAATGATGGTGATTAAAAGAAAAAACTTAACCATGAATGTTACACTCCTACCACGCACGCTGACACTCCTTAATAGTTGCACCCCAAGCCTCTGGCACTGGACAGAGGAGTGCTGGCATCTCCTGCGGGTCCTGGTTCAGGGTTCTGCTCCACACGGTGTCAGGACTTCTGATGTCCCAGGACAAATGCCCCTCCTCCAGCAAGAAGCTGATGCCCCTAGTGATTCTATTTGTACATTTTCACCTCAGTAAATACATCCAGGAAAACTGCTTACTTCCCTTTTCTTGCCTGGAGCTTCTTTACTGTTACACTTATTTTGCAACATAAGAATTAATGCTACAAAATAAAAATAAAGCTTACCTGAAAAGTGCATAGTTTGGGGCAATGGTATCTACATCTCCCGTGGTGGGAAGGTGAGCAAAGCATTAGAACACTCAATTCTCCTGTTCTGATTACAAATCTGAATTATAAGATGTTTATGTTTGACCATTGTTTAAACAGTGGTATTTCGTTATGAATTATCCCTTTAACTGAAACCCTCGATATTACTGTTTACATTATTAGGAAAACAGGGATATTTTTGAATCTAAAAATTTAATGTACAGCATGTGATTTTTGAAGTTTACATGTAAAGTCATTTTACAGTGTAGGTGAATTAATGTTTGTCATATTTTGAAGTGTAACCTGCAGTCATATTTTGGGGTGAATGTTTTATTCAAAGTACATGGTAGGCAGTCTTTCACAATTAAAGGAAAAGAATTGTTTTTGTTTCTTCCAAATGTACATTTATGAACCTAATGATTTTTTTAATGCTTAACCCAAATCTGGTTATGTAAGTTCATTGCCCTAAACTGTGCTGATGTGTTTAATCAAGTTATAAATTTCCAACATCAATCATGTATTTACCAACTTTCCAGCATTTTCTGAAAGGCGTCAAGCTTAAAACATTAGACTTGCTTAGAATAGGTTATCAACTTACACACTGTGCTAAAGCTGTGCCTTTGAAATTCCTTGTTTAAAACATGAGATGATTTTTGTAGGCAGTTTCAGAAAAGACAAAAAAATACACCCTTCAATAATTACTTATAACTCAACCAATACCCCCTGCCATACTGCCTCTTTCAATGACTTTACTTCAGGGCTTGCCAAGACTGTAATTGTGCCCAGTGTATGTAGGTTTACTCCAGAAAACACAAGGGAATAGCAAATCGGTGACTTTGGAACCCTGCAGCAACACCATCCTACTGCTACCTACTGACTTCATGTAGATCTGTTATCCTTAGCAGATGATGTTAACACCACTATGTCATGGTCGTCCAAATATGTGTTTCATGCATTTAAATTAATTGAGACTGGGACTCAGTTTCCCACCCACCTCCAACCTCCACTATTCATTCTGGAATCCAGTCACTTTCAGTGTTCTGAAGTTATCCTGTAGTTTCTTTGACCCAAGACTACAAAAGTGAGACCCTGAAGTAAGGTTAAGATACACTCACATTATTTGAGCAACTATTTCCTTTATGGCCAATCTGTGTATGCTTTTAGAAGTTTACAAAATGCTTTATTTTTGTCTGTAACAGTCTCATTCATTTCTATTGATAAACTGTTTGGACAGAGTGAGGAAGTTTGCCTTGTATCTCCTAGTGCTAACAATACACTCCAGTCATGAGCCAGGCTTTACAAAATAAAGCACTTTGATGACTTACAAGGTGGATTCTTTGTTCTTTCTTAATTGTGTTTCTCTCTGTTGCAAACAAGTGTTAAATACTCAGTACTGAGGTTATCTTTAGCTGATCCTGGAAGAAATAAAGGAGAAACTGAATCTTACTAACTACAACTTTGCCTTCAAGCTATAAACTATTTTATTAATGAATAATAGAAACTTCCAGGACAAAATTGACTTACTACAAGATGCACCGGCATAGAAAAGAAATCTTTTCAATGAATACCCTATAAAGTATATTATTTTACTTTTAATTTTTGAGTTCTGTGTCAGCAGTTTTCGAAACTTTATTGGGTACCGTTGATGGATTAAGGCTTTTTCTTTTTAATAGTTGTCACCGTTGCCAGCTTAGCAAACACAGTAGTTCATCTGTAGCACTTGTTTTGCAAATGTGTGTAAGTTCTAATGCAATTGCTCTATGAGGAAATGACTTGGGCGTAATGCACTTTTCCCATTGTGTGCCTTTTGGTTCACAAGGCACATTAGATGAACACTCAAAACTGCACCCACCTGCACTGTGCTGCATAGAAAGACACACATCCCTCAGACATTACCAGCTACCTCAGTTCAGCACCTTAGGAGTCCCAGTGGTTCAGATCTGGAATTACAGCTTTCCGTCTGACTTCAAATCACTCTCCTGCCTACACATCACAATAACCCAAGAGCCGAAGCACTTCCGGCTCCCGTTGCCACAGGTGCCCCTCAGTTGTTTTTCAGGATAACTTGTCACATTTACTGTGGTATTTGCGTATTTCCTGACCATTTAGCATGTTTAAAACTGCTACTGCTTTTGTTAGGTTCCTATGTTTTTAATATATCACTGATAAAATGTTGGGGTATTGTGCCTCTAGTTCTATTATTCCTGTGAGCTCTGGTTTTTTTGTGTGTAATTTTGCACAGAGCGGTGATTTTTGAGAACACATGTCTCATTACAGCAGTACTGACTATGGTAAGCAGGGGCTTTAATTTAGTTTTCTTTGTGGACAGTTGGAATGTAGACATTCATTTTCATTTCGGTTATTTCATTTCCTGGATTGAAGTCATATTAGTCCCAGGAAATTGGTTACTCCTAATTCATAGAAGGACAAAAGTTGGTCTGAAGCAATAATTCTTAGTGCAACACTTTTGGAAATAGTAGTTAAGAGTTAAATGCAAGAGATTGGGAACTATATATAATGAAGTAGAAATGTACAATGTTTAAATGTACATAATGAAGTGTGGCAGTGAAGAGAAGGCAACCTCAATAGGTGGAACATGGAGTTCAACTGTGGAGTTCTTACATCAGTGGATTCTGAAGGTCCCCAGCACCACTGCACATGGCCGTCCTGGGCATTTTAAATTAGCACACCCACTGGGATGGATATAATAAGAAAAACAGATAATTGCAAGTGTTGGTGAAAATGTGGAGTAGTTAAAACCCTCAAACACTTTGTGGAAGTGTAAAATACTGCAGCCTTTGGAAAAGTCTGGCAGCTCCTCAAATGGTTACACATGACTCAGGAATGGTTACACATGACTCAAATGGTTACCATGACTTAGGAATCCCACTTATAGGTGTATATCCAAGACAGGGCTGCATTCTTGGAAGCCCTAGGAGAATCTATTTCCTGCCTTTTCCAGAGTTTAGAGTCTGCCTGCATTGTGGGCTTTTGACTCCTTTCATCTTCAAAGACTGCATGTAGCACCTTCAAATCTCTCTCTCTCTCCCTCTCCCTCCTTCTCTCCGACTCTGCTTGTGTCATCACGTCTCTATAGCTAGTGGTCTATTTTGTACATTTTTTTCCAAAGAACCAGAATTTGGATAAATAGATTTGATCTGCTATTTTTCTGTTTGCAGTCTTATCCATCTCTGCATTTATCTTTGTTACATTTTTGAGCTTTCTTTTGGTATATTTTATTGGGGTTTTTTTTCTAGATTGAATTGGGAATCTAAAGCATTTGTGTTCCTTTTTAATTTTACTTGATATAGGTGTGTAGGGCTATGTTTTTTTTCTGAGTATTGCTTCTTATACATAGAAGTAATATGCTCTTGATATATAGCCTTTTCATTATCTTTCAGAAATTCTGTAGTTTTTGTGTTTTTTTAAAGATTCTATTTATTTATTTTTAGAGAGGGAAGGGAGGGAGATAGAGAGAGAGAGAGAAACATCAATGTGCGGTTGCTGGAGGTCATGGCCTGCAACCCAGGCATGTACCCTGACTGGCCCTATAATTTTTGTTTTAACCCAAGAGTTCTTTAGTAGAAATTTTTGAAAATTTCCAGGTAGAAGTGCCTTTTCATTTTCAGTTTTGTTTTTAATTTCTAGCATTGTATTGTGTGCAGAAACTGTCAGTAATATTAACTTTGATGAAACCTGTCAATGTTTTCTTTGTGTCCTAATAGATGATCATTTTTCTGGAATGTTCACTTGTACTTAAAACAAAGGTATAGTCTATATCATCGGGGAGTAGCGTTTGATACATAGCAGTGGGCAGACGTCAGTTTACAGTTGTAATACAAATAACAACAATTAATAAATAATATAAGAATAAACTCTGTGTTTCACATACTCAGAACTGTAACCCTAGGTTTGCCTACCCTTACACATCCAAAGGATCCTAAGATTGGCGGTGCACCATTCATTCTAGGGATGGTATTGCTTCTTTGTTCATGTTTATATACACTTTCACATGGACAAGAGGCTCCACCGCCTTCACATGCTATCACTCAACTCCCGACTTTGCTCACACATCGCTCTGCTGTCTGATCAAAGGCAAAGTTTTCATTTACCTACAAGTCCATTGTGATGGACTACAATGTAAATTTTCCTGCAGTCATTAACATCATAAAGCTGGCCAGTGTGTGTGATATTCTCTCTGGTTGGGGAAGTCCACATCCCAAAACACCTGGCACCCTGGGGCAGGCACTGGTCCAGCCTCTAACAGAGGGTCACTGCCTCCATCTGGCCTGGCTGACACTTGGCCTGGCCTGCCAACACATGTGCACTTCTTATCTCGTAACAGGCATCCCTTGAGACCCATCAATATACAGCAACAAGTAATCTTATTCTACTTTCAACCTTCTCTTCCCATTTTGAGTTGTAGTTTCTCTACTTTTTCATAACATATGTTTATATATTATTCTTATACACATAGACCCATCCTTATTTTAGCCTTGGCCCTTGCTCTACAATTAAATATAGAAAATACCATCAGCCCTTTTACGAAATTTCCTCAATCATCTTCATTGGATAAAGCTCCTCCTCTAGTACCACAATAGGCAAATTTTTAGTAGTGAGACTAATAGTATTTTAGGCTTTGTGGGAATTTGTTGAAATTAGTCCATTGTAGTGCAAAAGCATCTATAGATAATACATAAATGAATGGATGTGGCAAGGTTCCAACAAAACTTTATTTACAGAAGTGAGTGGCAGGCTGAATCTGGTGTGTGGCCAGTTTGCTGACCCCTGCTGTGATAGTTAATTTTATATGTCAACCTGACTGTATCACGAGATGCCCAGATATTTGGTTAAGCTTTATTTCTAGGTGTTTCTGTGAGGGTGTTTCTCAATAAGATTAGCATTTGAATCAGTAGATTTAGCAAAGCAGCTTGCTCCCCAGTGTAGCACCATGCAATCTGTTGAGTCCCTGAGTAGAACAAAAAGGCAGAAAAAGGAAGAATTCAACCCTTCCTGCCTGCCAGATTGCTTGAGCTGGGACATTGGTCTTCTCCTACACTCTTGGTTCTCAGTCCTTTGACCTCAAAATGAGCCACACCACTGTCTTTCCAGCTGGAAAACAGCAGGTAATGGGACTTCTCAGCTTTCATAACTGTGAGCCAATTCCTTACAATAAATATGTATCTATCCTATTGGTTCTATTTCTCCAGCATATCCTAATACACCTGCTTTAATAGATTCCATAGGCAAAGCACCTGTGTATGGTAAGCCATACACAGAGTTCTTGTACACTTGGGACTATTTATCAATAGCCCTAATACTGGAAGGATGATTTGGCTGAACAATTTTCCTGGGTCATACTTTTTTTCCTTGAATTTCTTGAGATTATTGTTCTACTGTTGCCACTGAAATTATTTTATCTTTTTGTCTAGAGACCCTGAAGATTTCTGCTTTTTCTTTAAAGTCTAGTCATGTTACTAAACCTCCAATGATCCCCTGCTCCTAGTAATCATACCTTGATCTAATCCCCTCCCCTCAAGTGTGGACTGGAACAGTGACTCCCTTCTAACAAATAGAATATGGCAAAAATGATGAGATGTCACTTCCAAAATTACAAAAATAAAAGAAGACGACTCTGGATTCCATTGTCCTCACCCATTCCTCTGACATGCACTGTCTGAGGGAATCCAGCTGTCATGTTGTGAGCTGGCCTATGGAAAGGCCCACTTGGCAAGGAACTAGTGCTTACCAAGCTGATGTTTAGCCTGCTGAAAACCCATGGGAGTTCCTCCTTCAACTGAGCCTTCAGGTGGGACCCAGCACTGAGAACTAGATTGCAGCTTCATGAGAGAGGCAGCTTCACCTCAGGCAGAGGCACCAGCTAAGCTGCTTCTGGATGCCTGACCCACAGAAACTGTGAGATAATAATTGTTTGCTATTTGAAGCTGTTAAATTTGGGGGTAATTTGTTGCACCACAATTGATAACGAATACACGGATGTCTCACAGTTGATCACCCCATGTTCATTTTGTAGGTGTCTAGTTGTTCCTGTAAAAAAATTGTAGTAAAACATACATAACATGAAATTTACCATTTTAACTGTATAGTTCAGTACTGTTACATACATTGACACTGTTGTGCAGCCAATTTCCTTTCATCTTACAAAACTAAAACTGTATCTATGAAACAACTCCCATATTCCACCTTTGTCCCTATGAACTTGACTGCTCTGGGTTCTTCTTATAGTAGAATCATAAAGTATTTTTCTTTTTGTGATCAGCTTAGCATAATGTCCTCAAGTTCATTCCTCCCCAAAGTCTGTTC